GGTAGTGGTGATGACATGTGTGACGTTCACGGTTGGTAGTGGTGATGACAGTATTGACGTTTAAGGTTGGCAGTGGTGATGACAGTATTGATGTTCACGGTTGGTAGTGGTGATGACATTATTGACGTTCACGGTTGGTAGTGGTGATGAGAGTATTGACGTTCACGGTTTGATATGTTTAAGTAGCAATGACGTACAGGATTTATTGTTGCTTTGTTAAGGACAAAGGGTTAGTTGTACACACAAACATAAGCAGAGTTTTAATAAAACATTTAAACTGAATATCGTGTAATCATGGTACTAAAAGGATTGATTAAGGATAGAACTACTTGATCTCCAGTACAGACAAATTAACGTCCAGTAGTGCGAGCCCTGGGATGGTAACTGATCAAGTTCTGTAACGTGTATCAGAGTCACCACCCGTTAATCCAATAGTTCCAAACGTTCCCCTGATCATAAGATTTCCATTACAGTATTTGTATTTACTATAAGTACGATAAGTTAAGGTAACCTATCTGAAACTTAACATCACCGGTCGTAATGGAAAGTTACGGTGATCTAATTTACAATCAACTGATCCAGCGTCATATTTCTAATGATCACCCGCAAACACATTACTACAATGTCATTATTGTTTTTTCGATGTTGTGTAACTGTGTCAAATGTGTTTATATTTTTCCCTACCTCTTGTCTTTTATTCCCCACTCTTTGTCCCCCTCGCTCTTACCTCTTAGTTGTCCTGGTTATCTGACAGTCGTACATGTAACAATAACAGAACTATCCGTTAGCAGTCTCCATGTCCCTACTTCGTACTTTTTCTATCCACCATGACAGGGTGCTCATTATCCACATGGAGATGTGCTATCGGACTATATTACTCTAAACAAACCCATTTAAACAATACGTACAGATTCAACAACAACACTTATTCCTATTACGATATTTTTAAGCTACATTTTATATATTTGCCTATATCAGTTGTTTTTCTTGTTTTTCTACAGACATATAGCAACCCAAACAACATCGCCCTTGTCTTGATCTTAATCTTACTTTTGTCAGGGGACATACACACAAATCCAGGACCAGCAGACAGTTTTTCTTCATCTCACGACTCCGACTCCGACAATATATCCTTTTCTGTTTCTGACGAAAACTCATTAAAAATCATGCACTTGAATATTCGTAGCGTTAGAAATAAAATTGTTTTTCTTGAGAGTTTTACCGATGACGTAGACATATTGTGCCTAACAGAAACACATCTCGATCCTTCTATCCCTGATTCTGACCTTCTTCTTACTAACTTCTCAACAATATTTAGAAAAGACAGGAACGCTTTTGGTGGCGGTGTTATGATTTTTGCAACTAAAGACATACTTCCTAAACGCAGACTTGATATTGAATCACCGAATGACGAAATAATTTGGATTGAATTTTGTACTGATAATAAGAAATATCTTCTATGTGTACTATACAAACCTCCATGGCAAAATACTAACTCTGGAATTTGGACTCGACTGAAACATTCTTTTGACATAGCTTTTGACTACACTCCTCATGTTATATTAACAGGGGATACTAACATTGACTTATTAACAGGAAATAACAATGATCTTAGCATTCTAACACAGCAATATAATCTAACTAACCTGATTACCAGTCCAACTAGAGTTACAAATACTACACAATCCCTTATAGACCCGTTTTACATCAGTGATACTATATCCTCCGAATCATCCATTGTTGTACCAGTTTTAGAAGCTATAAGTGACCACAGAGCTATAATTGTGTCATTGTCGTCATGTCTACCAAAACCAAAGTCTTTTAAGAGGAAAATATGGTTATACAACAGAGCAGATATCTTAAATCTTAAAACAGAGGTAGGACAGGTAAATTGGTTAGATTTGTTTTCTCATGCGGATAATGTAAGCGAAAAATGTAAACTGTTCACTGACAAAATAATTTCTATTTTAGAAAAGCATATTCCTAAAAAAATTGTTACTGTTAATAAAAACGACAAACCATGGATGAACGGAGATATAAGAAAAGAAATTAAACGTAGAAACAGGTTAAGGAAACATTTTATCAGAGTTAAAACCCCATTGTCTGAAGCTAAATTTAAACGTGCACGAAATAAAGTAAATAATATGCTGAAGCATGCAAGAGCACTTTTTTATACAAATGTAGATGGACTTATCAATGATAGTTCAGCTAATCCTAAAGCATACTGGAAACTAATGCGTATGCTTTTAAAAGGTAACATTTCTACCGATATACCTCCCTTACTTAACCCTACAAATAACCGCTTAACCACAGACGACTATGACAAATCCAATATTCTAAATAACTTCTTTAAATCTGTTTCTGACCTTGATGACCATAACGACGATACACCCTATTTTGACAACCAAACAGACGCGTCCCTTACTGAAATTGTAATAACAGAACAAGAGGTTTTAGATATAATCAATATTTTAGACACTAATAAAGCTGCTGGTCCTGACGGCATCAGTCATAAAATGTTAAAAATGGTATCCAATGAAATATCTGCACCCCTCACACTTCTATTCAACGAATCCTTTCGTACTTCTGTATTTCCTGATTCATGGAAACTTGCCCATGTGACACCTATTTTCAAAAAGGGGGAATCTGAATTGGCAAATAACTACAGACCCATTTCCTTACTTAGCTGCATTGGCAAACTTTTCGAACGAATAATTCATAAGTTCATCTATAACTATCTCTTCAGCAACAAACTTCTATATACTTTACAGTCTGGCTTCTTACCAAATCACTCTACAACTCACCAACTCATCGAACTCTATCATAGCATACTTACAGCACTGGAGAATCGTGAATATACTGCTCTTGTTTTTTGTGACTTTTCTAAAGCTTTTGACCGAGTCTGGCACAAAGGTCTATTAATTAAATTAGAAAAATACGGGATAAAAGGCAAACTTTTAGATTGGATTAAAAACTACTTAAGTAACAGACGCCAGTCAGTGGTACTAAAAAATGCTATATCTTCTGAAGTATCTATCAAAGCCGGAGTTCCTCAAGGTTCAGTGTTAGGGCCACTTCTTTTTCTTGTATACATCAACGATATTTCAAATACATTACTATCAATGACTAGACTTTTTGCTGACGACACCGCATTAGCACACTCTTCGAAAAATTTACACGATATAAAACAAGTTATAAACTACGACATGGAACAATTAAACCTTTGGTCAAATAAATGGTTAATGAATTTCAACCCAAATAAAACCGAAATTCTCTTAATTTCCAACACAAATATACCTTCTAACCCACAATTTCTTTTCGACAACACACCTATCCCTATTGTTAAAAACCACAAACACCTAGGAGTCATTATTAGTAACAACGGCACATGGAACTCTCACATCGAACATATACTAACAAACACTACAAAGTACATTGCAACTTTAAGGAAATTAAAATACATCCTAAATAGAAAAAACTTGGAAAAAATATACCTTGTTTTTATAAGACCACTATTTGAATATGCCTGCGAAGTATGGGACAATTGTAATATCACATTTTCGAATAAATTAGAGAACATGCAGTATGAAGCAGGTCGAATAATAACTGGATTACCTATTTATACAAAAAAAGAATTTATTTACAGAGAGCTCGGATGGAAATCATTGATAGATAGACGCAGGATTAGAAAATTATCCATGTTTTATAATATTTATCATGATAATGCTCCCTCATTTCTTAAATCTCTTCTACCACCTATTGTGTCAAACTTCTCTAACTATAATCTTAGAAACAGGAATAACTTTCAGAACCCATACTATAGACTGCAAATCACAAAATCATCCTTCATACCAAGTACTTCAGACTACTGGAACAATCTATCTATAGAAACAAAGTCATCAGCATCCATTAAACAATTTAAATCTCTTATTCAGCCCCAAGTCACTACCCCTTCTTATATTAAATGTTTTCTTGAATATGGGTCCAGAAAAGTAAATATTATACATTGCCAATTACGAAACCGCAGTAGCTCTTTAAATTACGACCTTTTTAAAGCCCACCTTCGAGACAACTCTACTTGCGACTGCGGAAATGACTCGGAAGACTCTTCCCATTTCTTACTAAATTGTAAAAAATTTGACCAATCCCGTAATATAATGCTCCAATCCCTCGATTGGTATAACGAGATCACTGTTGAACACCTTCTCTTCGGAGATGCAAACCTTGACTACAATCTAAACATTCAAATTTGTAGGTCTGTACAACTGTTCATTTTAAGCTCCAAACGGTTTAACATGTAATACCCAATAGTCTTATTGAATAACCAGGATACCTATTTCGACTATTCTCATCTGTCTCTCCCCTCCACCTCCTCTCTTATTCCAGCCCCTCTCCCTTTTTCCAACACCAACGATCTCTGTGTACTAACTTCAATCTTAGCGTCCATCAATATCATAACCGTTTCCATATGACAAAGAGTGCGTGTTCGGTTTTCCTAATCTAGTCGGCTAAGTATGTAAGGCAGGAATTCACAAAAGGACTTGGAGTGACACAGGAGAAAGGCAAATGCGGCACGGAATGTGATTGAACTTTAGAAAAGCAGAAGGACATGTATGTATAGATTAGTTATACTGCTTACGCCGACTTGATTGGGAAAATCACACACGCGATCTCAAGTAAACTCTCCGAATACATATTTAAAAACTATACGTTGGTGTCCCTAATCCTATCATTACCTCTTTTGCTGTTACCCATCTTTAACATCTTATATATATATACATACATGAATTAGGTTATTACGTGACTCATTATTTTGTATATATATTTTCTGTTACGGAAAGGACGTAAGTAAGTTGCAATAACTTTGTCCAATCCATTTGTCTTTTGTTGCAATAAAATTGATTTAAACTAAATCAACTGATCACGGAGTAACAGAGTGTCCGCTATATAGACTTGTATGTTACACTTCAATAAATCAACAAGTACATGTACCTATCGTCTCTATGTGATTTAATTAACATACAATTATACCATAACATATATTTAAATGTGCATACACCGGTTTGATTGAAAAAAGTCATCCCACAGAGGAAACTCGTAAGTCTGTCATTTTTACACACCGAATGCATCTTAAGACTAAAAGCTGTCACTGTTCTGGGACCGTTAATGTACAAGCATTGAAAATGTCCTGTGAACGTTTCATGTAAACAAGAGGCCGCAGGGCCTGCAGAGCTCACCTTGGCAACTGTCATGTGAAACCTCTACCATTTGCAAGTTATTCAAACTTGTTTCCATATGCCTACATAACAGCTGTTGTCCTCTCTGCAGGTAAAAGTCACATACGACTTTGTGAAATTCAAGTTTTTAAGAAGCTGTTGAAGTTTTTTAACATAGTTGAACTTGAAAGTAAATAAAAAGGTCAAACATATGAAGAAATATCCAAGCTTACCTATTGCTAAACACACAACCTTTTTGGCCCTTTGGAGTTTTAGTAATTCATTTTTTACTCGTTATATCTATGCTAATTTTTTACCCTAGCCAGCGCTTTAAGTTGATCACAGACTTGTGTTGCTAGTCCACATGAAACTCTCATGTTTCATGGCTCTGGACTTCATTGTTCTGTAGATAATATTTTTTTGAATTATGAATCAATTTGACCCCTGTGACTTTCGAAATAGATTTATATCTTTTATGTGAGGAAATCTTACATCATTCCATATCGGGTACCTTCTAGCCAAATGTCGGAATCGTTTGAGTTTTTAGGGAGAGGCTGTTCAAAGAAACAAGGATAACAGACGGGCACTGCACCATGCTATAGACTCGCAGGTACTTTGTTCCAAGCGAACTAGTTAAAACTTTACTGTCTGTCCAAGTTCCAGTCTTCGTTAAAACAACTATGCTTTTAATTCTATATGTTAATTACAAGGAAGCTTGGCACTAAATTAGAAATGTTCACGAACACACGCTTGTTTTGGTGAGCTCACATCGGATTGGCCTGATCACCACCGCTGCCAGGTCGTGATTGGACGGTGGGGGATAATGTCTTTTGTCGTTCACGAGGGGTTGAGGTGGAATCCGTTAGGTTGGATTCATTTTGTCGTGGCCCGTGGGTAGGGGATAGTTCCTCACTGATACGTTCGACCTGTGTTACGGGCGTGATCGGACGGGAGGTATGCTCGCTGATAGATTCTATTTGTGTAGTACTGACGTTCCCTTTATTAGTCTGCTGTGTCCGTGGGGTAATGTTTGAAGGCAGAGCTTTCCCTTCTGATAGGGTAATCCGAGAGCTGGTAACCGGCGTGTCGGTACCCGGTATTTTTGGTAGTCGCCCGCTTCTGCTTGGTAGGGTGGCTCTACTTAACGAGGAGGAGGATGAACTGAACAGTCTGCTGAAGTTCTCTTTGGCAGAAGATGAGAAAACATTGACGTCATTTATAGGGGGTAACTTTGGCTCCCCGACCCCCAGTTGCAGTATCCGTTTGCGGTCGTCCCTCCGCTTCAGCTCCAGTAACAGTACACGTTTGTCCTCTTTCTTTTCGTGTCGTATCTGGTTACGCACGCCATTGGCCAGCAAGCTGTTGAAAAACAGAAAATACACTGAAACTGACGTAACTACGTACATGTACATCAATATTCTGACGTATTTTTGACACATTGAAGGGTGTAACTTTCTTTATCAGTAGATCAACGACTTTAATTCAAAATGTTTTAACGATGACAAGAATCAGCGATTCAGATAAATGCAGTTTTTGATTATATGGTCTATGATATGTAAAAAAAAAACGGCATATGGGTCCTCCAGTCGAACTCCATTCATTTCCAACATGTACTACATTGTACACCTTCTAGCAAAGCACAATGGTACACACGTATAAACATTGGATGTCACAGAATTATCGTCGCTAAACAATATGACTGAATAAGACCTCGTACAGTCAAAAGCTAAGATTCATCAACAATGTGACTTAACAATTATTACCTCGAACATGATGAAACCTTACCCTACCTCACATGTGTTTTCCTTTCTGTAGCTGATGAACCTCTCCCCTATCTTCTCTGTGATGACTTACCTGTAGCTGATGAACCCCTCCCCTATCCTATATGTGATGAATTACATGTAGCTGAAGAACCCCTCCCCTATCCTATATGTGATGAATTACCTGTAACTAATGAACCCCTCCCCTATCCTATATGTGATGACTTTCATGTAGCCGTTGAACCCCTCCCCAATCTTACATGTGATGAATTACCTGTAGCTGATGAACCCCTCCCCTATCCTATATGTGATGACTTACATGTAGCTGATGAACCCCTCCCCTATCCTATATGTGATTAATTACCTGTAACTAATGAACCCCTCCCCTATCCTATATGTGATGACTAACATGTAGCTGATGAACCCCTCCCCTATCCTATCTGTGATTAATTACCTGTAACTAATGAACCCCTCCCCTATCCTATATGTGATGACTAACATGTAGCTGATGAACCCCTCCCCTATCCTATATGTGATGACTTTCATCTAGCCGTTGAACCCCTCCCCAATCTTACATGTGATGAATTACCTGTAGCCGATGAACCCCTCCCCTATCCTATATGTGGTGCCTTACCTGTAGCTGATGAACCCCTCCCCTATCCTATATGTGATGACTTACCTGTAGATGATGAACCCCTCCCCTATCCTATATTTAATGACTTACCTGTAGCCGATGAACCCCTCCCCTATCCTATATATGATGACTTACCTGTAACTGATGAACCCCTCCCCTATCCTATCTGTGATGACTTACCTGTAGCTGATGAACACCTCCCCTATCCTATATGTGATGACTTACCTGTAGCTGATGAACCCCTCCCCTATCCTATATGTGATGACTTACCTGTAGCTGATGAACCCCTCCCCTATCCTATATGTGATGACTTACCTGTAGCTGATGAACCCCTCCCCTATCCTATATGTGATGACTTACCTGTAGCTGATGAACCCCTCCCCTATCCTATCTGTGATGACTTACCTGTAGCTGATGAACCCCTCCCCTATCCTATATGTGATGACTTACCTGTAGCTGATGAACCCCTCCCCTATCCTATATGTGATGACTTACCTGTAGCTGATGAACCCCTCCCCTATCCTATATGTGATGACTTACCTGTAGCTGATGAACCCCTCCCCTATCCTATATGTGATGACTTACCTGTAGCTGATGAACCCCTCCCCTATCCTATATGTGATGACTTACCTGTAGCTGATGAACCCCTCCCCTATCCTATATGTGATGACTTACCTGTAGCTGATGAACCCCTCCCCTATCCTATATGTGATGACTTACCTGTAGCTGATGAACCCCTCCCCTATCCTATATGTGATGACTTACCTGTAGCTGATGAACCCCTCCCCTATCCTATATGTGATGACTTACCTGTAGCTGATGAACCCCTCCCCTATCCTATATGTGATGACTTACCTGTAGCTGATGAACCCCTCCCCTATCCTATATGTGATGACTTACCTGTAGCTGATGAACCCCTCCCCTATCCTATATGTGATGACTTACCTGTAGCTGATGAACCCCTCCCCTATCCTATATGTGATGACTTACCTGTAGCTGATGAACCCCTCCCCTATCCTATATGTGATGACTTACCTGTAGCTGATGAACCCCTCCCCTATCCTATATGTGATGACTTACCTGTAGCTGATGAACCCCTCCCCTATCCTATATGTGATGACTTACCTGTAGCTGATGAACCCCTCCCCTATCCTATATGTGATGACTTACCTGTAGCTGATGAACCCCTCCCCTATCCTATATGTGATGACTTACCTGTAGCTGATGAACCCCTCCCCTATCCTATATGTGATGACTTACCTGTAGCTGATGAACCCCTCCCCTATCCTATATGTGATGACTTACCTGTAGCTGATGAACCCCTCCCCTATCCTATATGTGATGACTTACCTGTAGCTGATGAACCCCTCCCCTATCCTATATGTGATGACTTACCTGTAGCTGATGAACCCCTCCCCTATCCTATATGTGATGACTTACCTGTAGCTGATGAACCCCTCCCCTATCCTATATGTGATGACTTACCTGTAGCTGATGAACCCCTCCCCTATCCTATATGTGATGACTTACCTGTAGCTGATGAACCCCTCCCCTATCCTATATGTGATGACTTACCTGTAGCTGATGAACCCCTCCCCTATCCTATATGTGATGACTTACCTGTAGCTGATGAACCCCTCCCCTATCCTATATGTGATGACTTACCTGTAGCTGATGAACCCCTCCCCTATCCTATATGTGATGACTTACCTGTAGCTGATGAACCCCTCCCCTATCCTATATGTGATGACTTACCTGTAGCTGATGAACCCCTCCCCTATCCTATATGTGATGACTTACCTGTAGCTGATGAACCCCTCCCCTATCCTATATGTGATGACTTACCTGTAGCTGATGAACCCCTCCCCTATCCTATATGTGATGACTTACCTGTAGCTGATGAACCCCTCCCCTATCCTATATGTGATGACTTACCTGTAGCTGATGAACCCCTCCCCTATCCTATATGTGATGACTTACCTGTAGCTGATGAACCCCTCCCCTATCCTATATGTGATGACTTACCTGTAGCTGATGAACCCCTCCCCTATCCTATATGTGATGACTTACCTGTAGCTGATGAACCCCTCCCCTATCCTATATGTGATGACTTACCTGTAGCTGATGAACCCCTCCCCTATCCTATATGTGATGACTTACCTGTAGCTGATGAACCCCTCCCCTATCCTATATGTGATGACTTACCTGTAGCTGATGAACCCCTCCCCTATCCTATATGTGATGACTTACCTGTAGCTGATGAACCCCTCCCCTATCCTATATGTGATGACTTACCTGTAGCTGATGAACCCCTCCCCTATCCTATATGTGATGACTTACCTGTAGCTGATGAACCCCTCCCCTATCCTATATGTGATGACTTACCTGTAGCTGATGAACCCCTCCCCTATCCTATATGTGATGACTTACCTGTAGCTGATGAACCCCTCCCCTATCCTATATGTGATGACTTACCTGTAGCTGATGAACCCCTCCCCTATCCTATCTGTGATGACTTACCTGTAGATGATTAACCCCTCCCCTATCCTATATGTGATGACTTACATGTAGCTGATGAACCCCTCCCCTATCCTATCTGTGATGACTTACCTGTAGCCGATGAACCCCTCCCCTATCCTATATGTGATGACTTACCTGTAACTGATGAACCCCTCTCCTCGCTTATCTAGTCGTCTGGCTACCATCCTCATGTCACGGTCAGGAAGAGGAGCACCGATTTTCTGCAAATGCGATATTTCATGTTTTATTTTCAACCAAACGCAGTAAAAACTTAAATGTTCGCTTTCAAATGTAATTTGACCGATTAATACAGATTTTGTTATTTGCTATCAAACTACCTTTAGCCCCCTCATGAAGCTTTCTTTTGAGACATGCGCATGACTGTCAGTGTCAAACATCCGAAAGAGGTCGACTACCCGGATCCCCATGACGCCGAGGTAACGGATGAGGAGAGTGAACGGGTCCTCCCGACGCTCTACAACAAATACGGGTTATAACAAGATATTTTGTAGTCAGGATGAATCGATTCAAAGAAGAAACATGTCATATCCCCCGTATATACATTATGTATGTCGCATGTCTCACACCCCGGTATGTCACGTGACAATGTCGAATGCATTACACCTCGTATATACATGTATGTATGTCACTTGACTATGTCGAATGTCTCATATTCCCGTATATGCCATACGACTAAATCGATATATTTCGCATCCCGGTGTGTCACGTGACTACGTCGAATGTCTCGCAACCCAATATATGTCTCGTGACTTTCCGTTTGTCTATATCACGTGATTTTGTAGAGTGTCTTACCTCTGCGGATACCGATAATATCCTTGGTGTCCAGTACGCCTCCGTGACTGATAGAGAACAACCGCCGGAACCGGATCTCGTCCACCACTGCCGTTACCTTGGAGTTGATCGGGATGTCCTGATCACAAAAAAAAATGTTACAGACATGTCCTATAGTAGCATGTGAAAAACAAGTTATCAGCAATACAGAAACCTTTAAACGCCAAAAATTGTCATGTTCACAGGGACATGAAAATTAAGACATAAATATGTTGTAGTTTCAAACTAGAGTTGTATATACATGCAGAACAGTATGGTCTTTTATGGGTTATACCACTGTGTAAATACAAATGAGTACTAGACGAATGGCGCAACTCAGTCATGTTTTGGCCATGGCAAAGTGAGGACAACGCTCCAGTGTCATTGGTCAATAGAAATAACGGACCAATGAGATGCGAGCTTTGATATCACTCGGCTGTGAAAACCTCCAGGTCCATATGCTTAATGAACAAATCACCGTATTTAACCTTTAGCCATATATGCATGTAGTTTCCCATTTTCTTTTCGTGTTACCAGCATTTACTTTGCTTTTTCCACCAACCAAACGAATTCGGTACCACGTATTGTCTTATAATCCTGTCAGTGCCTCTTATGAGTGTGCCACTAGTCTCCCTGCCGGTGCCTCTTACCTAAAGAAGTCTCGTTATTGTTGTTATCAGTATTTAATTCGACTATTAGATATAAACACTTTTTTTGTCTGTGAAGAGCAGAGGTATATATTCGGGTACTAAGAAAATAACATGATATGAACCCTTTCGGCGCCTCTTACCTCCAGACCCACGTGCATCACGCTACTGTTGGCCCCGCTAACAGATTTCAGCAGTTTCAAACAACCCTCCATAGATATTGGGTTATTACCGATCTGAAACAGAAAGAAAAAAACCAAGACGTACATAATATACGAGTGTAATTACCATTTGGGGGATTCATTGCCTTCTGTGATTAACTACACGCATTTAAAGTGCAATAACTGTGTCCACTTCCCAATCATTGTAGCTGCGCACTCTACACCAGGGGCGGCTACAGGCTCTAGACCAGGGGGCGGCTACACGCTCTACACCAGGGGGCGGCTACACGCTCTACACCAGGGGGCGGCTACAGGCTCTACACCAGGGGGCGTTACGGTCTCGGGAATGTGGCTGTCTACAGTATCATATACCGAGGTTTCACAATATCACCCGAGATCCAAACATATGTGTTGGTACTGTGTATCGATGTATACATTATATTGCTATGAATATTTACGTATTAAACAATTACTACGTCACGGAACTTCGTCAATAGTGTATACGCACTAAAATGATATGTAATTTATAAAATAGGTGATGAGAAACAAAGTTTCAGGCGTAGAGTGTATTGTCTATATTTAGTGTATTGTCGGTATGAATGAAGTACATTACGTATGAATACAGGCTGAATACATGTATGTATAACATACTCTGAGTATAACGTCCCTTGCTTATTATACCTTGAGCATTTGTAATGAAGTGTTGGATTTGAGGCCCCGGGAGATGTAAACGATGCCCTCCCAGTTGATGCGGTTATTGCTGATGTCCAGTACTCGGATAGTCTTGTTGAGTTTGATGGCTTCTTCCAGCACGATGCTGCCCTCGAAAGCAAATCCATTCCATGACAAGTTTAGGTTGACTATGGACTTGTTTTTCTGTTATGAAAGATGAACTTTACTAGTACTAAATATCTCATGTATCATGTGTATCATCATTACCATCGTTCTCATTCCGACATCGTTAGATAAAAATATCCTGAGCTCAGCGTACCATCAAGTTAAAACCACGATAACATCGACATTTTTACTGTCATGAAACATCATTTTAAGCATTAATTGCGATCAAACTTGGAACAATTACACTGCCAATTTTCCACATTATGCCGAGCATCAAAATGAGATATGAAGTTCCTTTGAAAAGGGAGGTAATTCTAGACAAGAAAAACCCCGTTTGTTGCCCAATCATCACTATAAGATTATAATGTACTCCAAGTAAACAATCGACTTTCTTGATGAAAAAGCAGTCATATATCTGAAAAACATAACATCTTTCAGTTTAGTGAGAAGTTACCTGGATCCCTCTACACAGCGCCACGGCGCCCATGCGCCGAATGTGGTTCCAGCTAAGGTTTAATACCTCCAGCGTGTCGTTGATTTCTGAAAGTATGAATGTATTTTGTTACAACGTCAGTATCTTAACTTGTCACCCTTCTAATTTATAAAACTCTTTCTGAATTATTATTATCTTAATATAGCGCTACCACGTAAGTATCTACATAGAGTGTTACCACGTCAGTATCTAAATATACTGTTACCACGTCAGTATCTTAATATCTTGTTACCACGTCAGTATTTAAATAAAGTGTTACCACGTCAGTATCTAAATATAGTGTTGCCACGTCAGTATCTAAACCTAGCGCTACCACGTCAGTATCTAAATATAGTGTTACCATATCAGTATCTAAATAAAATGTTACCACGTCAGTTTCCTAATATATTGTTACCACGTCAGTATCTACATATAGTGTTACCACGTCAGTATCTAAATATACTGTTACCACGTATGTATCTAAATATACTGCTACCACGTCAGTATCTAAATAAAGTGTGTTACCACGTCAGTATCTAAATATAGTGTTGCAACGTCAGTATCTTAACATAGCGCTTCCACGTCAGTATCTAAATTTAGTGTTACCATGTCAGTTTCCTAATATAGTGTAACCACGTCAGTATTATACTGTTACCACGTCAGTTTCCTAATATGTTGTTACCACGTCAGTTATTTAATATACTGTTACCATGTCTGTATCTTAATATATGGTTACCACATCTGTATCTAAATATAATGTTACTACGTCAGTATCTTCATATACTGTTACCACGTCAGTATCTTAATATAGTGTTACCACGTCAGTATCTTCATATAGTGTTACCACGTCAGTATCTTAATATACTGTTACAAGGTCTGCATCTTAATATACTGTTACCACATTAGTTTCTTAACATAGTGCTACCACGTCAGTATCTAAATATAGTGTTATCATGTCAGAAACTAAATAAAGTATTAACACGTCAGTTTCTTAATAAACTGCTACAGAAATGTACCTCTTCAGTATTTAAATATACTGTTACCACATCTGTATCTAAATAAAGTGTTACCACGTCAGTATCTTACTATAGTGTTACCACGTCGGTATCTTAATATGGTGTTACCACGTCAGTATCTTAATATAGCGTTACCTAGTCAGTATCTTAATATACTGTTACCACGTCAGTATCTTAATATAGCGTTACCTAGTCAGTATCTTAATATACTGTTACCACGTCAGAATCTAAATAAAGTGTTACCACGTCAGTATTTTGATATAGTGTTACCAGTTCAGTACCTGTTAGTGTATATAAATATATTGTTACAATGTAGTATAAAGTTAAATACGTGTATCTGTTTACCAAGTCAGTACCATAACCGTCAGGCTATCCCCGTTGTATATCACCAATGACATACCCCCGGTAATTACTATCACTAATGGCCTTACATCCCTGTGATTACTATCACTAATGGCATAACCCCCGGTAATTACTATCACTAATGGCCTAACACCCCCGGTAATTACTATCACTAATTGCCTTACATCCCTGTGATTACTATAACTAATGGCATAACCCCCCCGGTAATTACTATCACTAATGACATAACCCCCTGTGATTACTATCACTAAAGGCCTAACACCCCCGGTAATACTATCACTAATGGCAGAACCACCGGTGATTACTATCACTAAAGGCCTAACACCCCCGGTATTTACTATCCCTAATGACATAAACCCCGGGGATTACTATCACTAATGACATAACCCCCGGTGATTACTATCCCTAATGGCCTAACACCCCAGGTAATTACTATCACTAATGACATAAACCCCGGTGATTACTATCACTAATGGCATAAACCCCGGTGATTACTATCACTAATGGCATAACCCCCGGTGATTTAACCCCCGGTGATTACTATCACTTATGACATAACCCCCGGTACTTACTGTCACTAATGACATAAACCCCGGTGATTACTATCACTTATGACATAACCCCCGGTGAGTACTATCACTAATGGCCTAACCCCCGGTGATTACTATCACTAATGACATAAACCCCGGTGATTACTATCACTAATGACATAACCCACGGTGACTAATGAACTAACCCCCCCGCCCCCCCCCGGTGATTACTATCAGTAAGTATGCAGTAAGATTGAGTGACCAGTGTTATGAGAGCATTATGCATTATGTATTAAGATAACAAATACACACGCTGACTTGAGGATTGTTGTTACTCGAAAGTTGTACACACGTAACATGTGCTGCGATGTATTATAAGTGTCTCGGTTAGGATTTTTGTTACTCGATAGATGTACACACAGAACATGTGCTGCGATGTATTATAAGTGTCCCGGTTATGGATACCTAACACGGTAGTTTACAGGATTGGCAAATTATTTACAAGTATTAGTTTGCAGGCATTGATGGAAGGATTATGTTTTTATAAACCACATATTTAAATAAAGAATTGATCAGTTGTCTTCACCAATGTTGTTTTTGTTAATGGTAATGAAAGTGTTTTAACACAGCGCCATGGTAGTAGAGTCTTTTCTAATCTTGTTTGTTGTCCATATAACTCAGTTAGCGTTAAGGCCCCATGGGCCTTTTGTTTGTAAATGCACTTCTTTTTCTGGGTTTTTTCATAATCTAGTTAGCTAGGATGCGTAATTAGGATATGAGTAAATCATAATGCTAGTTTAACACATTTTAACATGGTGACATTAAAAGTGTTCCGGAGTAACTCATTTGAGCACTTTTGGAAGTATGAGTCACTCTCACAACGTATACAGCTACAGGACACACACTTTGTAAAACATTGCTTTCTGTGATGTAGGGAAGGGGTTCGTCATTATTACAGTATTGATTTGTAATTTTATTGTCCATAAAGTCAGATTGTTCACCCCGTTCAACCCGTACACTTCCGTACATTACTTTGTGCATTATATTTGAGCAAACTGAAAATTATATTGGATAACTTTTAGTTAAACATGACGGTACGAAACACAATTCCGTTTAAACGTATTCATCGGTGCATCATGGAAAAATTTATTTGACGGAAAAGGTTCATCTATGGACTGTACAACAGAAATATACCATTTTAAAAATTGAAATGCATATTTTTAACATTTATGACGGAATCTAACATAATTAAGTTCAACAATATTCCAGGAAGTGCGATGAAGCATATTGGTGAATGTTTGAACAGGCCTGTGTAGGTATAGTTTACCATCAAAAACATTAAAGAGAGTAATCTCAATCCTAAAAATTACGTTAAAAACAACAATAAAGTTGTATAATTCATGTATCTGGATAGTATCTCAAAATACATTTGGGACTAATCGTTTTACTATAACAGGTGGGACAGCCATTTTGCAGGAACCAGATCGTGTTACTATGACTACCAGTTCCTACAGACGACGACTCTCAACCGGAAACCATTCGGGAATTTCCGTCATAGTTTGAATTTGACGTCATGTTTAGTAGCACCATTATAAAACATTTTTTTCTCGTATGAGATTTTTTTTTCTTTCAAAAGACAGTGTTTTCATCAACAAGACTTGTACCTACTACGCTGTCGTTACCGTGTAAGTGATACAGTATATTACAGGTGTAAAATACAGGGTAAATAGGTGTGGTAAATAGGGTGTTTATTATAAGGTGTGATTCACATGATGGGTTTTTTCAGACAGCCGTAATTCACCGAAAAAACCCACCAGACCAATGAATGTATCAACATTTTTATCGCATCGTAATTAAACGTATAGCAATGTTCTTGTAAACGTGATGCATGCAGTTGCAGTTTCGATATACATAATTTAGGCCCGTGTCGTGCTATGTGTACGGACATGCGATACGCAGACCATAGCAAACCTTGATAAAGGTAAGATTGACAGATGGCAGACACCATTGTTTTATAAAAAATATTTCATTTCCCCCGTAGTCTACATTTGTGGCAATATAAAACACCCCAGCGCTGGTCATACAGGTGGTATTAAGGTTCAAATTTCTAGATAAAGTATCTTACCTAAGTGCGATGTTATGGGCAACGCTAATACTACAGTCGGTGTTAAGGTAGAATTAAAAGAGTTATCTATCGTTAATCTTAGTTTGGAGACGTCAAGTATTCCAGGGTGCTTCAAAACGGAACTCGTTACCAGCTGGCGTGGCCTTTAATCATAATACAATAATACAATTACAGCAGCAACGTAACATTAAACATTGCTTCGCTTAATTATCATTGGGAGCTGGTGAAGTCTATTACAAAAGCAGAGCAAGTAAAGTTTTGTTTATAATTGTACAGCTAGTGACGTCTGTACCATTGTACAGCTAGTGAAGTCTGTACCATTGTATAGGTAATGAAGTCTGTACCATTGTATAGCTAATGACGTCTGTACCAATGTATAGGTAATGACGTCTGTACCATTGTATAGCTAATGACGTCTGTACCATTGTATAGGTAATGACGTCTGTACCATTGTATAGGTAATGACGTCTCTACCATTGTATAGCTAATGACGTCTGTACCATTGTATAGCTAGTGACGTCTGTACCATTGTACAGCTAGTGAAGTCTGTTCCATTGTATAGGTAATGAAGTCTGTACCATTGTATAGCTAGTGACGTCTGTACCATTGTACAGCTAGTGACGTCTGTACCATTGTACAGCTAGTGACGTCTGTACCATTGTACAGCTAGTGAAGTCTGTACCATTGTACAGCTAGTGAAGTCTGTACCATTGTACAGCTAGTGACGTCTGTACAAGTGTATAGCTAGTGACGTCTCTACCATTGTATATCTAGTGACGTCTGTACCATTGTACAGCTAATGACGTCTGTACCATTGTACAGCTAGTGAAGTCTGTACCATTGTACAGCTAGTGAAGTCTGTACCATTGTACAGCTAATGACGTCTGTACCATTGTAAAGCTAGTGACGTCTGTACCATTGTATAGGTAATGAAGTCTGTACCATTGTACAGCTAGTGACGTCTCTACCATTGTATATCTAGTGACGTCTGTACCATTGTACAGCTAGTGACGTCTGTACCATTGTACAGCTAATGACGTCTGTACCATTGTACAGCTAGTGACGTCTCTACCATTGTATATCTAGTGACGTCTGTACCATTGTACAGCTAGTGACGTCTGTACCATTGTACAGCTAATGACGTCTGTACCATTGTACAGCTAGTGACGTCTGTACCATTGTATAGCAAGTGACGTCTGTACCATTGTAAAGGTAATGACGTCTGTACCATTGTATAGTTAATGACGTCTGTACCATTGTACAGCTAGTGAAGTCTGTACCATTGTATAGCTAGTGACGTCTGTACCATTGTACTGTACAGATAGTGACGTCTGTACCATTGTACAGCTAGTGACGTCTGTACCATTGTACAGCTAGTGAAGTCTGTACCATTAGCATTGTATAGGTAATGACGTCTGTACCATTGTATAGCAAGTGACGTCTGTACCATTGTACAGCTAATGACGTCTGTACCATTGTACAGCTAGTGACGTCTGTACCACTGTATAGCAAGTGACGTCTGTACCATTGTATAGGTAATGACGTCTGTACCATTGTATAGTTAATGACGTCTGTACTATTGTACAGCTAGTGAAGTCTGTACCATTGTATAGCTAGTGACGTCTGTACCATTGAACAGATAGTGACGTCTGTACCATTGTACAGCTAGTGACGTCTGTACCATTGTACAGCTAGTGAAGTCTGTACCATTAGCATTGTATAGGTAATGACGTCTGTACCATTGTATAGGTAATGCCGTCTGTTCCATTGTATAGTTAATGACGTCGGTACCATTGTACAGCTAGTGACGTCTGTACCATTGTATAGGTTATGACGTCTGTACCATTGTATAGGTTATGACGTCTGTACCATTGTATAGTTAACGACGTCTTTACCATTGTACAGCTAGTGACATCTGTACCATTGTACAGATAGTGACGTCTGTACCATTGTACAGCTAGTGACGTCTGTACCATTGTACAGCTAGTGAAGTCTGTACCATTAGCATTGTATATGTAATGACGTCTCTACCATTGTATAGCTAATGACGCCAGTTCCATTGTATAACTAATGACGTCTGAACCATTGTATAGCTAGTGACGCCAGTTCCATTGTATAACTAATGACGTCTGTACCATTGTATAGGTAATGACGTCTGTACCATTGTATAGCTAGTGACGTCTGTACCATTGCATAGCTAATGACGCCAGTTCCATTGTATAACTAATGACGTCTGAACCATTGTATAGCTAGTGACGTCTGTACCATTGTACAGCTAATGACGTCTGTACCATTGTATAGCTAATGACGTCTTTACCATTGTATATCTAGTGAAGTCTATTTAACATTGTAAAGCTTATGACATATGTTTAACATTGTAAAGCTAATGACGTCTATTTTACATTGTAGAACTTATGACGTCTATTTAACATTGAACAGCTAGTAAAGTCTATTTAACATTGTAATGCTTATTAGGTCTATTTAACATTGTACAGCTAATGACGTCTATTAAACATTGTACAACTTATGACGTCTATTTAACATTGTACAGCTAATGATGTCTATTTACCATTGTAGAGCTACTGACGTCTATTTAACATTGTAGAAATAATAACCTCTATTTAACATTTTAGAGCTCATGGCGTCTAATTATCATTGTACATCTAATGACCTATATCTAACATTGTACAGCTAATGACGTCTATTTAAAATTGTAGAGCTAATGACGTCTATTTATCATTGTAGCGCTAGTGACGTCTTTTTTTCTATTGTAGAGCCAGTGACTGATAACAATGAAAAATTGTACAGCTAATGACGTCTATTTAACATTGTAAAGCTGATGACGTCTATTTAACATTGTAGAAATAATGACCTCTATTTAACATTTTAACGCTCATGGCGTCTAATTATCATTGTACATCTAATGACCTCTATCTAACATTGTACAGCTAATGACGTCTATTTAAAATTGTAGAGCTAATGACGTCTATTTATCATTGTAGCGCTAGTGACGTCTTTTTTTCTATTGCAGAGCCAGTGACTGATAACTATGAAAAATTGTAGAGCTAATGACGTCTATTTAACATTGTAGAACTTGGGACATCAATTTCATAAAGGTTTTCTAAATCAGTAACTCTTATTTCTGGAGTATAAGGCTGTCAACTACGTGGGTAGTCGCTAGGTACTGGTCGCAGTGTGATTGTTTTTCTCCGGTTACTCCGCTTTCCCTCCACCACCATAACCTGGCTAGTCCTTAAAAAGCACAAACAAACCGAACCACACCAGCGTATGGCTGTTTAAAGGAACTATGGTCCGTGCTCCCTTTTTTCATTTAAATTCCAGTCACTCACCTACCGTGAGGATCTGAGACCAGTTTTCCCTCATTCCATTGTAATTACAACTTACCTAACGCTGCCCCAATGCTTTGTGATCCGTATTCCCCCACTTCGTTGTGACTGAGATCCAACCACACTAAACTGACATTGCCCTGGAAAGGAAACAACCTTACTGAAAACATTAATGTCAATCTTCAGTCCATTTAAGCGCCAATCTACTGTGTACGTGTGTGGCTGTGTTAGTAACTCGCGAGCTTAGTTACAACGCCATCAAATAACTCCTCATTACATCATCATCATTCGACGGTGTATTATATTTCCTATAAAGTATTCAACAACTTCAACATTTATTTGCACCATACGATATCGTGTCTAGAAACAATAGAACATTAAGTTTCTTCCATTGTTTTATATTTAGCAATGAATGCTGCTACAGAGAGCTTGGTGTGGGGTAACTCACCCGGAGGCCATAGGCAATCTGTTTAACTTTTACATCCCCGAGGTGACATCCTGCAATGAGAAGATAATGACAATTTTGTTTTTATTAAAAAATATAAACGTTTTGTGATATCATATATATTGTACCCTAAACTGGCTAAATCTATTCCTTTTTTAATCAGGCGTTGAAAAGAGTAGAAAAAACATTGGAGAAAAAATGTTTTCTGTACGCTCTAATTCATTGAAGTGCCTTTGCTGTCCACTACTCTGAAATGTCTTTGCTGTCCATTTGAAGTGCCTTTAATAACATACCTCAACAGAAACAATGGCCTTTACCTTGATCTAAACTGTTATAAATTAATTTAATCAATACATAACACTTAAATGAAATTTACATACCTGACAAATTTAAGTGTGTGAGGAAGGTTGTTTCCGTCATCATTTCTCCTATAACTATCGCACAACTTTTATTTAAGGCATTTTCGGATAGACTCTGTAAAGTAAATATACACAGTATTACATAACAGTGTCTGGCGAGGTTTGGTCCTATATTTACTTCTGTATCGTCATGGATGTACGGTGCGCTAAATAAGTGCCATACATGTTTATCATAATAATTTAATCTTGCTTGTAACAAGCATTTTCATTGTCTTAAAAAATTATGTTATCAACCCATAACGTAAAAAAATGACGTCACCGTTTGTAACGTCGCTTTTGATTGGCTGATACAACGGCGTAATAATTTCTAAGAGAAAAGAGTCCATCAATAAAAGTGTATTTCCACAGGGATTGTGTATAGTAGATTAAATTATAAAGATTGACTTGAATATATTTTGTATGTTATTTAGCTATAACACAAAAAAAACGGAGTGTACTCTAAATAAACCGCTCGCTTCGCGGTTTTGTGTTATATCTCCATAACATAAAAAAAAATATTCAAGTTAATTCTTAAATAAAATTAATACATTTTGAAGTTGTACCAGTACATATGTGATTCCTGAGATCTAGCTTTAAGCCCAATGCTCCTTGTTTTTGTTTTCATTCCTGAGATCTAGCTTTAAGCCCAATGCTCCTTGTTTTTGTTTTCATTCCTGAGATCTAGCTTTAAGCCCAATGGTCCTTGTTTTTGTTTTGATTCCTGAGATCTAGCTTTAAGCCCAATGGTCCTTGTTTTTGTTTTGATTCCTGAGATCTAGCTTTAAGCCCAATGGTCCTTGTTTTTGTTTTGATTCCTGAGATCTAGCTTTAAGCCCAATGGTCCTTGTTTTTGTTTTAGTAATTGAAAACAATGAAAAGGGATTTTATTTAGAAATCAAACATTTTGATGTGGAGATCACTGTTTGATTCCATATCCATTATACAATGGAATTACATTGATATGTACTGAAAAAAACAAATACTATGGATAGCCACTGATAGATCCAATACCTCTCAGTTCTGTTGTATATACCCATTCCTTGACTCAGTAAGGTTGGCTACATCATTTGTATCACTAAAATGAGTAAAAGACGTCTCTGTTTGAGAACCTATTTTTCTCCAACATGAATTGCATGTCATGTTGCCGTCTATGAAACGTAATTCATGGTATTTTTTGGTTCTTTCATTGTAACGTACGTTAACAATGGATGATGATTGGAGAATTTGAAAAATAAATTTGGAATATATTCTAAAACTATTTACGTATCTTTAAACATTTTGTATTTTTATCGTTAGTTTTATCGTTAGTTTTATTTTATTATCGGTATAATATTACAGTGATGCAAAACAAGTACAAAGTACTTTTGTTAATCCGTCTCCTTTGTTTGTAAAACGGCGATTGGACGGCACTGACGAATATTATACATATAGATAGATATAAGTAGATGGAAGAGAAGAGGATGGGGGAGGAAGAAGGGAAAGAGGTGCAAAAGGGTTTAAAGAAAGTATTGATAGGGGTAAAATATATAGTGGAGTACATTTACTGCATTATGGGAGTAAAAACTGATTGGAGTATATTTTGGATATGGACACGTGTCGAGGACTGTACATGTCACTGAGGTATTCGACACACAATAAATTAGTTGCATATAATGAAAACTTTCCATTCCGACATTCAGTGGTAGACAACAACCTGGGTTAATTTAAAATATTAAAAGTATCATCAAACAAGACTATGACGGTTTGTATATATGTATATCCATACTGACGTGTCGTAACATACAGGGGCCGTACCAGTTAAGTCCCATTATGTACCACATGTACACATACGCGTCATCAAAATATTGAGAACTTCAAACTTTAAATTGTTTCGACTGGTTTATGAAATGTTGGACGCAGTCGAAAATATTCTCATTATATTTAACTGGTATTTCAGGATTTCCGTACAGTAGAAGGTTTACATTATAGTCGGGAGGAAGGCTTCTGAAGCATTGTACTCTTAATTGTTGGTATTTCGGATAGAAGAGGAGGAAGTGTTCGGCCGTTTCAGCAGACTGATTACAAGTACACATGGGACTACCAACCAGGGTTCGTCTATATAAATGCTTAATCATGGATGATGGATTTGGCCGAATCTACTTCTGCAGTTGTAATAATAAGGCGGAACAAGATGAATTTCAACATTCAAGAGCTTTTTAAGATTAGTAAAATTAGGCTTGATGTTATCGGCAAGTGCATTCTATATGTCAATAGAAAAGGGTTAGAAAGTCAAGAATCATTGTGAAGCTTGGTTCTACAGTTTATTTGGCAGTAATTATTTGCGTTTCTAGTATTGTGAGAGTGCAAGTCAGAATGACGAGCAGGAAGTATGTGAGTTAGATAGGAGGGGCACTGACCATGGACAACCTTATGAAATTGTTTGATTTTATGTTTTCTTCTTCGAACAGAAAGAGGATCCCAGCCAGATTCTAAATATATTCGGTCATGACTAGCTAATTCAGTGGCCCCAGTAACAATTCTGGCTGCTTCGAGCTGTATCGCCATATTTTCTAAAAAAAGGTCGTAGAACTTAAGCAACACTACCAACTTCATCGGGAATTCACTTAATGTTATTCACATACTTATCATTATTTTGAATTTGATAATGAAGCTTATTATTTCCTATGAACTTATAAACAGTTTCAAAAGCGCACTATAAAATGGAAAATTCAGCAACAAATACCGTCGAGTACTGACAGTGAACCTTGACAATCAAGGGGAGGTAACTCGTACTTAATTTCAATACTATACTCGCTATTGTGCCAGAACATTTCTCGATTGTGCATTACTCTAAACTTGGAGATATCTGAGCATTTTTTAGAGACTTTTCTCCCGGATACATGTATAACAAAGAGGATGACATTTGCCTATTTTCAGCATTATAGATATGTAAAAGAGTATTTTTTGCTTCATATCTTTCATTTAAACTGTATACGAAGGATGTAAAGATCAGGATTTGTATAAGATGCACAATAAATTAACTCCGGACTATTTAAATGATCTATTGCCGTCTACCGTTGCAGACAATAAACTTTACACCCTTAGAAACAATAATGATCATAGAGTTCTTCCTTTCAGGCTTTCTCTAACAAATTCATCTTTTATACCTTCAACTCTTCGTAGTTGGAATTCATTTGACCTTTCAGTACGATCATTGACTTCTTTACATTCTTTTAAAAACTCGTTAACTTCAAATGTACTATCTCCTCCGCTAATCTACTAAGGTTTCGGTGAACGTAAATTAAACATTTTGCATACAAAACTTATATATCAGTGTAGTCCACTTAAATATGATCTTTATAGGACAAATCTTGTTGATAGTCCAGTTTGTAATTGTGGCCATCCCTGTGAAAATGCCTTTCACTTTTTTTATGAGTGCTTACTTTTTAACGACGAAAGACGCATCCTGTTCCAAAATTTGAATGCCTTGTATGCTGATTTTGATTTAGAATTACTTTTGTCTGGTAATACCTAACTTTCGGTAGAAACCAATACAAATGTTTTTAAACAAGTGCATCATTACATCAAATCCAGCATTATGTTTTGATAATTATAATTATCATTCCTTATTTTTATTTATATGTGTACGTTGTTACAAATGTATATATGTTTATGAAATTGCATTTCATTATTTTGCCTGATTACTTTATTACATTGATCTTGTTCATTATAGAATAACTATACCGGGCTGCATGTCATGCAATTTTGTAAAATTTATAATTTATTCAAATGCGGATCCTTTTCACAGTTTACACGATTTCTTTTCTAAGTACCCCCCATTCCATATCCCCCCTCCCCTCCACCCCCATACCCTTCTTTTTCCACCCTATCCTCCTCCCGTTCCCCAAAACACATATACATTGTATTTACCATATGTATTTAGGAGAGGACTTTTATTAAGTTGTAATAACTTGTTGTCCAATCCATTTGTATATTTGTACAATAAAATATGTTTAAACTAAAGATCAGGCTAGACTGCTTCAGAACGTAAAAACAACAATACAACTATTATGGTAAGCGACCTTAGTCCATGAAGCCACACTTGACATGACGTCATAATCAAGGAATGTTTTGATTGGTTTTGATGTTTATTGATTTTGTGTTCTGTGTCTGAATTGTTTTGAAATAATGATATTTTGTTTAATGGACTCCTCCCGACATCAGCTAAGACTGGAGTAATGTGCAGTACTCACCACGTTGGCTATGTTAATGTTGTGGTGTAATACCTCCACAATGTGTACGATAGCCTCCTCCGTCAATCTGTTGTCCTCCAAGTCCAGACTCTCCACCCGATTGTTGTACTGCACAGACAAACACATCGCCGTGTTACACACATACATACTCTACAGTATAGTAAACATGTACTACATACATACTCTACATTATAGTAAACATGTACGACATACATACTCTGCAGTATAGTAAACATGTACTACATACATACCCTACAGTATAGTATACATGTACTACATACTCTACAGTATAGTATACATGTACTACATACAAACTCTACAGTATAGTAAACATGTACCTCATACATACTCTACAGTATAGTATACATGTACGACATACATACTCTACAGTATAGTATACATGAACTACATTCATACTCTACAGTATAGTATACATGTACTACAAACATACTCTACAGTATATTAAACATGTACTACATACATACTCTACAGTACAGTAAACATGTACTACATACATACTCTACAGTACAGTAAACATGTACTACATACATACTCTACAGTATAGTGTACATGTACTACATACATACTCTACAGTATAGTAAACATGTACGACATACATACTCTGCAGTATAGTAAACATGTACTACATACATACTCTACATTATAGTAAACATGTACGACATACATACTCTACAGTATAGTATACATGTACTACATCCATACTGTACAGTATAGTATACATGTACTACATACTCTACAGTATAGTATACATGTACTACATCCATACTCTACAGTATAGTATACATGTACTACATCCATACTCTACAGTATAGTATACATGTACTACAAACATACTCTACAGTATATTAAACATGTACTACATACATACTCTACATTATAGTAAACATGTACGACATACATACTCTGCAGTATAGTAAACATGTACTACATACATACCCTACAGTATAGTATACATGTACTACATACTCTACAGTATAGTATACATGTACGACATACATACTCTACAGTATAGTATACATGTACGACATACATACTCTACAGTATAGTATACATGTACGACATACATACTCTACAGTATAGTATACATGTACGACATACATACTCTACAGTATAGTATACATGAACTACATTCATACTCTACAGTATAGTATACATGTACTACATACTCTACAGTATAGTATACATGTACTAGATACATACTCTACAGTATAGTATACATGTACGACATACATACTCTACAGTATAGTAAACATGTACTACATACAGACTCTACAGTATAGTATACATGTACTACATAAATACTCTAAAGTATAGTATACATGTACTACATACATACTCTACAGTACAGTAAACATGTACTACATACATACTCTACATTATAGTAAACATGTACGACATACATACTCTGCAGTATAGTAAACATGTACTACATACATACTCTACAGTACAGTATCCATGTACTATATACATACTCGACAGTATAGTATACATGTACTATATACATACTCTACAGTACAGTATCCATGTACTACATACATACTCTACAGTATAGTGTACATGTACTACATACATACTCTACAGTATGGTATACATGTACTACATACATACTCTACAGTATAGTATACATGTACTACATACATACTGTACAGTATAGTATACATGTACNGTAGTGTCTATATAACTACTGTATCACCGTTATAACGTGTGTAGATATATATATATAACTACTANACTACTGTATCACCGTTATAACGTGTGTAGAAGTGTCTATATAACACCTGTATTTGCGCTTTGTCGTATATCAAGGCTTTTACATGCATTTTAAAGATTTATTTACATATCTGAAGCAGAGACGTATAATACATATATATAGAAAATCATCAACTGATTCAAA